GATAAAACGTTACTGAGCAGTTAAGAGAGCGAGTGATCTTACTAATAGTCAACAAACTAAAAAAAACTGAGGAACAAACAATACAGAAGATAAGGATAGAGAGGGGCTAAGCTGCTTGGAGATAATGATCCATTAACAAGTGTAACATGGCGAGATAGGACTATAGGGTGAAAATTAGATAAGTGACCAAAAAAGTCGATCATATGATTAGAAGCTCTAGAATCAATGATCTAGTGGCTAAAAGTGGAAGATTATAAACAAGGAGATGTTGTATCTGATTAAACCAAATTAGTAATGGAGGAAGACATGACTTGTTTATGAGATTGGAATTGAGCATACTCATCTATAGAAATAGTAATGAGGTTAGGAAAGGGCTGAGTAGATCCAGAAAGTAGGACTACGGGGGAACATCCCCCTAACAGGAAGCTTGATGAGCTGAGACAAATTGTTTACTATGCAAGTCCCAATAATAATCCACAGGATGATTATTAAGACCACAATGAGTACATTTGTGACCTCTCCTACCACCACGAAAACCACCTTGATTACCGCAACCTCCTCTACTGCCTTGACCTCCACAAGCACACTAGTGCCATCCTGGGAGACAACTAAAGCAGAATGATCACACCTATGCTCTATACTAGCAGAATAGCTATAATCTGACAGTGTAGCTTGTTGAAGGCGAGAAAATACATGCAAGAGAGAGGGACTCCCCAAAATTCGTGTACGGATAGGCGTGTACTCAAATTTCAACCCAACTAAAATTGAATAATATCAATATCCTCACATTGGTGCTGCATGTGAGAAATATCAGACGAAATGGATTGATACATCTTAAGTTCTCGACAAGTCCCCATAAGCTTAGAGGAATACTCTTTGAGGCTCAAGGTATTCTATTTAAGACTAAAAAATTATTTGCACACCTCATAAATGTGAGATTCCTTGTATCAGAATATATCTGAGTCAATTGATTCATATCTCCCTTAGTAGTGTCTTGATAAAGCAGAGTAAAACTTATATGAGGCTCAGTACTATTCAACATGAGTGAAATAACTTGTGCATCTTCTTGTTCCCATTGCACAAAACTTGAGTCACTTTCTTTAGTTTATCTTCCTCCAAATGTTTATGAAGTCCTTTTCCCTTAAGGAAAACATCAATCGATCGAGCCCACAAAACATAATTATGGTTATTGAGTTTAACCGAGGTCATGAAATAGTAGAAATGTTTGGTGGTAGGGCTAATGAGCTTCTTCTGAAGGATTAGTCTTAGAATCCATTCCACAAAAAAGAAGAATCAAGGATAAACCAAAGTTGCCCAGAGATGAAATTTGCCCGGAATTAACCTAGGACCAAAATTTTATTTCGGTGCACATTTTCGGTGAGCTTGGAAATGAAAAAGTTTCAGTAATGTTTTGAAAATATTTTAGAAACAAGATGGAAAACAGAAAAATTAAAAAATTTATTTTCAAAACATTGATCAAAATATACCGAAAACATTTTGAAACCTATCAAAACACCTCGAAATATCTCAAAATATAGTAATTATGATATTCAATCAATAATTTGTTTCGGTCTTCATGGAAATAGAAATGTTTCGACTGTTTTAAAATGAAATTTAGTTCCTTGGAATTAACAACTCTGACCTAAACAAGAAGAAATCAGGTAGAATCTGGTGCACTATAGGGCTGAAAGAGCCTAAACCAGTGTAGCAAGGGGTTGGAGATGCCTGAACCAGTGCAGCAGGGTGTTGGAAAGGCCTGAACTGGACTTACAAAGTGGTCCATTGGTTGAACCAGATCTGTATAGAATTGGTGAAGGGTGGACCAAGCAACTGTAGGCTCGACCCGAACCAATAAAGTGCTAAATCGGATAAAAAAAGTGACAAACCGAGATGAACTTAACTGAACCGGATGGGAGAGGCCTGAATTTGATGGGTGAGTCCTGACTCAAATTGATTTGGGCTTGAACGGGCTTAAAGAAGCTGTGGTGGACTGGAGGCAATTTTGGCTGGACCTAATTTTGGGTTGTTGTTTGACAATAAACACCCATTGACACCCTTCTTCCCTTGCTCCAAGAGGAATAGAAACCAACTCCTATGTATTCTTTTTTTTTCAAGATTTTCATTTCCTCTACCATAGCTTCTCTCCACTTAGGATCAGTAAGGGCTTCCTTTCAATCCTGAGGAATAGACACAAAAGGCAATTAGGAAACAAAAGTACAATAGGATAAAAACAAGGAATTATAAGAGACAAAGTTAAAGATAGGATGTTGCGTATAAGCCCTACAAGCCTGAACACCCTTTATGACTGCAATAGAAAACTCAGAGTCATCAACAACAGGATTATTAATAACTGGAGTAGCATTTCAAGGTTCATTACTTTATAACTCAGTGGAGGATGGAACTTAAATAGGAGAAGTCAACTGATTAGGCAACACATCGGTAATCTGTATCTTTTGACGTCGAGAATAAGTCTTCAGATTAGACTTGTCAAGGTGAACACCTTGCGTATCACTCATACCAGCTTTTTTTTTCGTAAGTTGTTGCTCTCTGTGACTCACATTGCACTGAATTGACAATTGAAGAAGAGACTTCGGACAAAACATCTCTTCATTTATAGTGTTAGTATACTCCCCTTGAAGAGGATTGGGTAGTAGAAAAGGACTTAAATTCACGAAGGTACCATCCATGCTAACATAAGTATTCTAAAACTTCGGATGATTGCATTGATATCCTTTTTAAGTGGAAGAATAACCAACAAAGACACATTTCAAGGCCCCGAGATCAAGTTCTGTAATCATGGACAAAACAAACACACCTAAACACATTAGGAGGCAAGGAAGAAACATAAGGAATGGAGAAAGACGCAAAGAAACACTCAATAGGGGACCTAAATTGAATGACACTTGAAGGTAGACGATTACTAAGATAAACAATAGTAAGAACTGCATCTCCCAAAAAAACTGAGACACATTCATAGTAAACAATAATGAACTAGCAACTTTAAGAAGATGATAGTTTTTTTTGTTTGGCAACATCATTTTGGTTAGGAGTACTCACACAAGTGGTTTGGTACAAAAACTTCATTCTCATTGAGGTAAGAATGAAATTTTTCATCAATATACTCAATTCTATTATCGCTTTGAAGAATTTTGATTTTTAGCATCAAATTGGGTACTTACCATTTTATGAAAAAATCTAAAGCGTGAGAAAACTTTACTTTTAGTGCGAGTAGATAAACTTAACACGGGAATAAAAATTAATAAATGTAACAAACTAATGATAACCAGATGTAGACACAATATGGGAAGGACCCCACATATCAGAATGAATAATGATAAAAGGAGCAGTACTTTCTCATTAGTACTAGGATACGATGAGTGTTTTTGCTTGGCAAATTAACAAGTATCACAAACAAAAATCTGTCTACTACAATATTTTACTATACTAGGAAAAATATGCTTTAAGACACCAAATGAGGGATACTCCTAACGTCAATGCCACTGATGGAGGAATTGAAGAGCTTGAGCATCATTTGTTTGGAGAGCTTGACACAGAGACTTAAGAGAGGCTTCAACATCCAAAAGATATAGACTACTATATGCTCTATGCCTCCCGATCATGGTTCTGAATAACGGTAACGGTTACCGTAACGATAACAGTAACGTTATAACAAATGTGGGGTGAAACGGGTGTTACGTAACGGAAATGGATATGTTGGGTATATGTTGTCAGCAACATTAGTCAAATATCCCCAGTGATTTTTGAAATTTCTAACAATGTTGATTGTTGACGTCAAACTATCAGATGCTAACTGTTTTCAATGAATTCAACTACTTTGAGACGTTAGATTCATCGCCGCTCTGATACCAAGTTAGGTTGTATAGCCGTTTGGGTTTTAGAGAAGAGAAGAAGAGAGAAAGAGAAGAGAAGAAGAAAGAGAAGAATATGGGAGGAGAATAGTGTGTTAGGTTACACATCTACACTTAGCTTGTTTATATATAATCACAAATATAACACATAATATAACAAATAATAAAAGCAAAAGATGCATAAAAATTTTTAAAAAGTGGAATTCAGAAAATGAGAACAGTCATTTAATCCATATATGTTGGGTATATGTTGTCTACAAAACAAATTATGATTATTTGACTATTATGATGCTTTAGCCTTTAGTTTTAAAATTCACACTAGATGAGTAGACATAACATTTATTTATCATAAAATACTGAATTTTTTTATGACTAGTATATAATTATCACTATATTCACACAATTATCTGTAGTGTGTCTCGAACCTGTCCGTGTCCTACTTTTTGGAGAAATATTGTGTCTGTGTGTATGTGTCGTATTTATGCCCCATGTCCATGTTCTTGCTTCTTAGCAACCATGTATATTGAAAAATCCAAATGGGTTAGAAAGAAACTTGGCCTATAGAACACCCATGGCTCAACTCTTAGACCATTTTAGAGCATCAAACCAAATTCAATTGGCAATACGTAAAGTGACCCTGCAAGTATATAAACCAATATTGAGTAGTTCTAATTATTCGATGAGGGATATAAGATGTTTTTACACCAACAATACATGCCTAGACAATTATTGTGACTAACGTTCTGCTAATTGTTATTCTTGGAAACAAGTTATGGTGAATATTTGTTATTGGAGAAAGATGATGATTCTCTGAAAGAGCCCGGTCTTCACTTTCAAAAAGTATATTGCCCACCATTTGACTGGTTTCGATTATATCTATCACGCACCCAGTCAAAGTTAACCATTCAGTAGAACTGAAGTCATCTGCCATATCTAATCACTAATAACAGTTTATTACGAAAATATACTGCAGAAGTGCAGCATAATTAAGGAAGTGGCATGACTTTTTTCATTCAATGTAATATGCAGCTGCCTTCTGCACTCATGAACTGAAGACAAGATGATTTGTTTTCTGAACTATAATTTTATCTATGTTTTCACCTAATATATAACTTTGTCTTCTATTAATAGGTTGTTTGACTCGGCAAAAGCTCTTGCTTTCAATAATGTTCCAACCCGTGATGAGGTGAGGTTTGTTGTGCACACGTTCTTTTGAGTGTTGTTTGTTTTGATTTTTGGGTGGAAGTGAAGGTTTTATCCTTGTGCATGTTATTGTAATATCGATCATGGCTGTAAGTTTCATGGTATTGGGTAGTTTATGGAAGGTTGTGTTGTGCCTATAAATTGAACATTTCAAGGTTCATTGTTGTGACATGTTAATATATGTACAGCATTATAGTTTCCTTTGTGATTGCTTGTTTCATGGTATTGGATTGCCGGTGGAAGTTGTGTTGCATTGTGCCTGTAGTATATTTTTTGAATTCATCATCTCGACATTTGACTATATGCAACAACTTGCAGGTGAAGGAAGCCATTTTCAAGACTCTTATACGGAATGCAATGTTTGATAATGCACATATCCGACTAAGTTTAACTCGTGGCAAGAAGGTTTTTTCTTGTCTTTTTTAATTTTATCTAACTTGATGTAATGAGGAAGGTTTGAAATCCAAACCACAATTCACAATGCTCTTAATCTTACAGTCCTGCAACCACAAGAATAGGCAACAAAGCTTAATGGTTTGGGATACAAAATGGTGGCAGTAGGAATGTTGATCATAATAGTTAGCTTGGACAGAATTTTGTAGCAACATCAGATGTCTCCCCCGTCAAATGTGTAATTTTGGCTTAAGGTCATTTGAACGTTTTCAAGAGTCCTCTTTTCCAGAACAATATGCTTAAGATGGCCACTTCCATGTTTTTGAACTTATAACTCAAGCATCTTAGCTTGATGAATTGGTAACATGATATGTTTTTTTTGTGCAGATATCTTAGTCTGCTTCTGAATTTGTAAATGTCTTATGGATGGGTTATCCCAATGTGATGGGAAATGAATTTATTAATATAGTATGTGTATATGCATTCTTGTCTTAATCTGAGCCATGAACTTCTTAATGGGAGGAACTGATAAGATAGTTGAATGTTTCACTGCTGAAAATGCGTGTGCGCTTGTACAAAGTCAAAACATAATTTCATATTCTGTATGTTCTCTTAAATCAGCCAATACTTCATGTAGTGAATATATTTGGCAATTTTATAGTCATACATTGCATTTTTCTTACTCTTTTGTTCAGGTTTCTTCTGGAATGAGCCCAGCATTCAATCTTTATGGATGCACCTTAATTGGTAAGACACATCCTAGTTTTTCAACTCTTCTACAAAATGGCATCCTCTCAGTCTTTTCAAAATGTGGGCACGTTTGTCAGTGCTATTTGGTTTCACAACCGCAATAATCTAGCATATTTTGAGTGTGGAAAAACAAGCCTTCTTTTTAGCTCCATGAGACATTAACAGTATAAGATTTATGACAACCTTTGTAGTTGAAGCCTTTTGGCTTATGCCTTGAGAAAATGAATAATGCTGCTAGTTTTAGAAACATCTACTGTGGAATGTGACCCATTGTGACTCAGACTGACAACAATTGCTGCTACAAAGATTTTGAATCTTGCAATTAGGAAGTTGGTTAAAAAGCACAGAACTAGGCATTGCACCAGTTTGATAGATAGACTTTCTTATTCATCTGTAACTGTTTCTTTTGCCTACATGTGCAGTGCTTGCTGAATGGAAACCGCCAGTCTATGACAATACAAGGGGTATTACTCTGGTGACTGCCACTACACGCCGTAATTCCCCTAATGTATGATCTGTGTTTTCTATGTTCAGTTATTTAGTTGCTATAGGAGAACAAAGAAAGCTTTTCTATCCCATTTTCTGTTTCTTACAGGATAAGCTAGTAGGGTTTTCACATTTTTTTCTCTCTTTATTTTTCTTTCTTGATGTACTTTTTTTCCTGATAGGTTTCAAATTGCAATATTCAACTTCCTATAAAAGTACCTTATAGCATGAAAGGGTGGGGAAGAAAAACTTGATATTCATTCCAGAACAAGCAAATTGTTATAATGAATATGGTTTTTGCACTTCTTCAGTTGATTTGTAGTGAGTTCACCGGTCTCAAGTGCATCCTTGGCTCTGTTGTCACCATTGTTCTTGTCGCCATCACTACGTAGCTGTTTATGAATTTAGTGCACTCAATATTAGCATATTTTGATTAACCATTCTGGTAAATTGATGCAACTCACCTCCTTTGCCTAGTTTTCTGTGATTTTTAGTGCATGGTATATAATTTAAAAGAAAAAAAAAAACAATTCTTTTGGTTTTCACTTGTACCTGAGTTTATGAGTTTTAGTTCTGTCATTATAGGAACTTGGGCAAATAATTGTGAGGAGTGTATAATAGTTATGCCCAAAGGGAGCAACTGAACGGCACAGCATGTATATTAAATAAATAATAGGAAGAAACAAAAAGTAGAGTAGATTTCTTCTGAAGTATTATGTTGAACTGGGATATTTTACTTTGATGAATGCTACCCCATTTGTTATGTGTGTTTGGACCAATAGGATTTAACATTATAATTTATGCAATGTCTCGTTCCATGTTTGTGACCTATTGATATTACATCCACACTTTAGATGTTAATAGGACACTCCTTTTGATTTGCTTTTCCAGAATTTGGACTCAAAGATTCATCACAACAATCTTCTTAACAACATACTCGCAAAGGTAAATTCTATTCGAGTCTGGTAGTTCAAGTTGATGTGAACCTCAACAGATATTTGGTAATTGAATTATTATTTTGACCTTGGATGGTTTATTTGATCGTAGTTATATTTGTTTCTATCATGTCATTTCTTTCATTTTGTTGAATGAAACATTAATCAAGTCTGTAGTATGGAATGTGACAAAGCTCATGAGAGCAAATCTGTTGTCTGCTTGTAGGTTTTATTTTCAAATGATAAAACTATTCACTTCCTTCTGGCAACCTAATTTTTTTATTTATTGTACTAACAGCTATCGTAAAACTCATGAAACCAAATATAATAAAACATGTACTCGCCCATTTCATAAAGTATTCGACTTGGTTTAACTATAGATACCCAATCTTTGGGAGATCCTTTCCCTGAATCCATATGTGGAAGGCTCTAATAGTTCATTGATTGAGAAGGTTAGACTACTAGGTAGTTTCATGCATGTGGTGCACAACCGACATAGGCACTATCTTTAGAGTGTGGTAGAATTCCATACATGAATCCATTTTTTTACACTGTAATTTTGTCATATGCGTGCACGTGTTTGAATTTTAATTCTGAAACATGTGAGTTGGTGCAGATTGAAGGGAACAATGCAAAGGCTGACGATGCCATCATGCTTGACAAAGATGGTTACGTGGCAGAAACAAATGCTACAAACATTGTAAGCCATGCTTACTGTCTGCTGTCACATTGTCCTTTATGTTTCTATTTGGCTAGTTGTGTAAATGAGCTACTGTAACGCCCCAAAACACACCCTGGACGGCATTACATTCTAAAACCATTCATATCATGAGAGCACTAATATAATTCCTTAAGAAACAAGACTTCATTTGTCATCCACGAATATTTACAACATTATCCAAAAGAATAAGCCCCAAGTCATGACTATTATATCTCAAAAATTAATTAAAAAAGCGTAGCGGAATAAACAAAAGAAGCTAAACTACACATTGTTCCAAAACAATGTCCTAGTCTAGTACAAAAGGAAAGGAGGTCGCTCTATGCATCCACCTTGGGATCTACACTCTCGTCCAGTGGAGTCTCCTAAGTAGCGGGCTCCTCGACCCTTATGTCCTCCTTTTCAAGCAGGTAATCTGAAAAATATTAGCGATAGGGGGTGAGCACGAAGCTCTGTAGAAAAATTCTCCCAAATCATACAAGGTTTAGAAAAATATTTAAAACGGTCGGTCTTAATTTTAACATAACATAGATACATAATTTGAAATAAAACAGTGACATTTAAAAAGGATCTCAAATTTATTTAAAAATATTACTTAAATGAATAAACGAGCACCACATACAAATAACTATTAATTGTCATAACCAATTCCCAACAATTCTTTGGGTAGGTGGCATACTTTGTGGTAACCTCCACCCCTCTTTAGGTCACATTTGATTCTCAAGCATCCTTACTGGGAACCTCTTGAAAATGAATGAGCATCCTTACATGGAACCTCTCACCAATCACTACATTATTTCCCAAGCATCCTTACCTGGAACCTCTTGGAAAGGGGTGAGCATCCTTATAAGGAACCTCTCACTCATGTGCATCACAAACAACCCAACCAAGCATACAATTTCAACATTTATCTCAATTTACAGGCATCTATTCAAAATTTTCAAAATATATCATATAACAATTCCACAACCAACTAAGAAAATACATGAGATCACAATAACATCATTTTTCTACCCAACACAAAGCACTAAGGTTTCAAAATCCATAATAAAGAAAGTATTTAAGAAGAAAATACATCACTCTCCAAAAATTAGGGTTTTAAAATTAGAAAGGAGATTTCATGAATATTAAACCCTACTTTGTTCAAAACATGTAATCCTTGCAAAAAGTCTAAGAGAGGATGATTCCATAGCATATATATACCATTGATAGCCAAAACATACATATATATAAATACCCTAGCCTCAATGTAAGTGAATGAGAGAAAACCCCTACCTTGAATCCTTAGCTTTAGTGTGAAGAACAAGAATATTTGATCTTGAATCACTATTGAATCTCTTGTTTTTCTTTTCCTTTCTTTTTCTCTAATGCTCTCTAGGGTTTCAAGAGGTGTGGGGGTGTGGGAGGAGTGAAGGAAATGAGAGCAAATGAGTTTAAAACATAGCAGCCCCAAAAAATACTGTTCACAGGTTGTTTTGGGTTTTTCCAAATTTACGATTTTGCCATTAAGAATCTTCAATTTGATCCATATGACTACCCTAAGATTTGTTGACGTTCCGGATTCATTTTTAATGTTATTTTAACCTAAAAATATTTATTTTTATGATTTATCTCAAAACCCAAGTCAACGTACACCCGAAACATCGGTTATTAATGAAGTTTTGAGATGTTTGCAAATAAAAAGTGATAAATGGTGTTTCTTAAAGCCTTTTATACTTATTTGAAGCCTAAAAGTACTCATTATTCTTATATTTTGATTTAGGATGCAAATGGAGACATTAAATGCAAAACGAAGCTAATTGGAGTATTTCGACATCGTTTCGTTATCTGAGCAAATTTTCACTTATTAAAACCAAATTTCAACTATTATTTTCACTAATATTTTAAATCTCTACTTTTACAATCTACCAAATTCAAACACACATCACTACATATATCCATATTTTTTTTACCACAATTATTTACTATATATCTATATACATATATAAAAGAAAATGCGGGGTGTTACAGCCACCAACTACAAGCATCATGCAGAGCTGGTAGTGTTCCTAAGCAATGGTGTTCTTGGCATATTGACTTCTTGGCACGATTTAGTGCCCCTTGATTAGTTCAATGGTAAAGCTAAGCAATGGTGAAGTGTTTGGGGTGTGAAGTGAGGAAACATCTTTGAGTCCGAGAGCAACCACTTTTGCAAAATGCCAGAAGTTTTTGTTGTATTAGGCCTACCCCTCATAGCAGTCTCTTCCTGCTTGAATGGAAGGGTAATAGTAAAGGCTATCCTAATGGCCTCTAAAAGAGTTGAAACTCATCAAAAGGATCTACTCTTTTTTACTTTTGCCTTTTGCTTTTTGTAGTGGGCTGTGACTTGTGAGGAATCTACTCAACATCCGTTGCACTTAATTTCCAGTGGAGACATTGATATTAGATCTTATTTACTTGGTCTTGCAACAACAGTGCTAGCTTGCTGTTGTTAGACCTTTGCAGGGCTGTTGATCAATTTTGGAATTCGTAGTGTTTTTTCTTTTTATTTCAAAGTTCTGCCCCGAAAGATGCTGTTGACCTCCATACTAACATTAACCATGTTTCATGATGCAGTTTTTAGTGAAGAAAGGCCGTGTTATGACGCCCCATGCTGATTACTGTCTTCCAGGCATAACTCGGGCAACAGTAAGTTTTAGGAAATTCCCTTTATAGATGTTGCATTATTGTACACCGTTAAGAAAAGCTTCTTTGAGTGTTTTCCTATTCTCTTGTGGTTATGTTATGCTTTATATTTATCCTATTGGTATTTTAGTACTTGTGTTTATATATGGGATTAGTTATGTGGTGTTACACACAACCTTATACATATTCTTGCCTCTCTTTCTCTTCTGTCTCTCTAAAGCCTAAAACTTTACAATCTAACTTGGTATTAGAGCAATGATCTAAATTCGAAGCCTTAAAGTTCAAAAATTAGTTAGGAATTATTTGATTTGAACTTGATGTCTGACATTACTAACATCAACATGACGCAATGTCAGATTTTTTCGAAATTCACATGGAAGACTCGACTTAATGCCTTTAGATTTATGGTGATTTTCTTGGAATTTTTGGAAATCAACTAACTGAGTTTTTTTATCATTTGAAGAATTTTGACATTTTTTTTTCAAGTTTCACCACAGATCTCAATTTTTTTTAGTTGTGCCCCTTTTTCTTTATTTGAATCCACTAGGTGAGGTGCGACTAAGGTGGATTTATAACACCCATTAAGATTTGTTGCATTTTGATTAGGTTTAGGATGATTGTCGGGCCAATTTGAGGATTAGCTACAGTGATTTCGTGGTTGTTTGGGTCCATGTCTTGTTTTTTGCCTCTGGTTGAGGCTCCTTCACACCAACTCAATGTTTAGGCTTTGGGTTGAGGCCCTATTCTGCTGTGGTACAACTCTTGGTGCTGTGTGCCATTGTTTGGTCGTATTTTCTTCATTTGGTGTTTTCTTGCCTCATGTGGACATGGCGGAACCTAGTGTGATCTCCGGGGTCGTTACTAGTACCGGAGGAAGCGGGTTGAGTCGTTTAGGGGTTTTTATCTTTTGAAATTAGCCAAAAAAACTGGACGGACATAACTGTTTTTCATGGTCACGGGCTTGTGTTTATTGTTGATCTAGGCTATTTCTTTAGATGTGTATTCGACAGAGGAGAGTAAGAAGCCTAATGAGTTCGGGTCTCCCTTGAAGATTGGACATCTGAGAATGTTTTGGTTATGTTTTCGTTGCTCAACTCAATGTTGTTAGAGTATATTTAGAGAATTAATATTACGGGTAGTTTGGTCATTTGTTTTATTTTGTGTTACCCTACTATATAAGGATTTTTATTGTGTATTCTTTTCATCAGAGTTGTAAGCAAACTCTCAGTATCAATAATATTCTCTCTATTTTTCTTATTTTTCTCTTTTTCAATTATTTTATCATAATTTACATGGTATTAGAGCGCATTTGGATCCGAATCAACTATGGAATAGTGTTTGCCAAAAAAATTACAAGAAAAAATAGAGTTGCAGAAAATTAGCGTCTGACAAGGCTTGATTCTAACGTCATTTGACAATGATGACATTAGCATCTTGAGCAACAAAACACACCCCTCTGCTCGAAATTTCATGAGCTACAACCTAGTGCTGTTCGTTTTTGTTTTGGAGATAATTTGGTAGGGTTTGCAATTTTTTAATTGTTTTTCGGAAAATAAGGTCACAAATCTTTGATCTGCTGTTTTCTCCATTTTTCCTTGATCTTCTTGTCTCGAATCAGTTCTAAGGAGTGCGACTAAGGGGTATGTATACTCAGTTGGGTGATTCAAGGTAGGTTGGTTGATTTTGTGATGGATTTTTGGTGTTTTTTGAGAGTTGACAGTTTCCTTCTGGGCACCGGGCATGAATTCTTGAATGGTTTTGTATATTGGTGTTGTTATGCTGTTATTTTGCTGATTACTGATGGATTTCTTGGTGGTTTGATGAGTGATCATCCCTGTTCTGTGCACTGGTGATGAGATTTTGGATGATTTTTGTTTGATTTTGGTGTTTTGCTACTGTCTTGCTGTTTCGCTACTGTTTTGCTACAGTTTTGCAGTCTCTGTTTGTCTACTGGGCTTCTAGTTGTTGATTTTCTGTGAGTGGAGGTGTGTTTGGGTGAATTTGTTCTTACAATATATTTGGTTGTTTGGTCTACAACACTGAATCCTCTTCTAAAGGGTGCTTAATTGAAGGATTTGAACTTGAAGGCTCTTGAATTGCTTTGTGCTTGTGTCTGTGTTGGCTATTGTTTCTTGCCACTGTGGTGTCGAGTTCTTTCTCTACGCTACTAGGGTATATTTCCAACTTGTTGGACTGTTGAAATTTGATTGTTTTGTTGAATTTGTGCTTCATTATTCTTCTACTGCTATTTGGTGTGGGCTGCTTGCTGGATTTTTATTTTGGACTTCTTGCTAGTTTTGGATTTCTTTGTTCTAATTATGACGAGTGGAACATCCAAACACTCTAATGCTTTTTCAGTCTCTCCTTTGGTCGGTTCATTTACTTTGGGTCCTATAGGTATACCTCGCACCGCTTAGGTCTTTGACTTTTGTGCTACACATCACATGACTAGTGATTCTTCTTTATTTGTAACTATTTTCTCTCCATCTTTATCTGTGCTTGTAGTGAATGAAACTCAAATGTCATTAGCTGGCGTTAGGACTATCATTTCTTCTTACCTCACTCTTCCAGATATTTATTATATTCCTCAACTTACTTTGAATTTGATTTTAGTTAGTCAACTATTTGATTTAGGGTTTTCATTGAACTTTTTTTCTACTGGTTGTGTTGTGTAGGATTTATGTTCCAAGAAGCAGATTGGGACATGTAGTAGAAATAGAAAGGGAGGATTGTATGTATTAGATGAGCTACATATTCCAGATATTCCTGATTCTAGTGTTAATTTGTCTTCTTTTCAATTAAGTCCACAGTATTCTAGTTTTTATTTGTGGTATTCTTGTCTTTGTCATATTTCTCATTCTTGTTTAAAATTCTTAGCCTCTACCGGTTATTTGGGTAGTTTAGAGTGCCATGACATTTCTGGTTTTTGGGATGTAAGTTAGCTAAATTTACTACATTGCCTTTCAATCAAAGTTCTACTAGCTCTCTTGCACCTTTTTGACCTTGTTCAATTTGATGTATGGATACCTACTCCTATCCCCACAAAAGAAGGGTCTAAATATTGTGTCAGTTTCATTGATGATTATACTAGGTATTGTTGGGTATATTTAACAAAGTATCGTTCTGAGTTCTTCTATATTTACTAGTTTTCGTGTCATGATACAAATCAATATTCTGCGGTTATTAAATATTTTTGATGTGATCAAGGAGGAGAATATTCTTATAATTCATTTCATGATCTTATAAAATCTGATGACACTATTCATCAATCCTCTTGGACTGACACACTTGAATAAAATGGTGTAGTAGAGAGCAAACATCGACATATTATGGAGATAGCATCCTCTCTCTTGCTGTCTGTAAATGTTCCAAGTTCTTTTTAGGGGGAGCAGTACTTACTGCAGTTCATCTGATTAATTACATTACCATTGTCCTCACTTTTGGAATCTCTCATTAAAAAATTATGTGGTAAACCACCTAATTATTTCTCCTTACGAGTGTTTGGATGTGCCTGTTTTGTCTTACTTCCTAGTGCTTTTCGTACTAAATTTTTTGCTCATTCAGCTCTATTTGTTTTTCTTAGTTATGGTGAGGGTCAGAAAGGGTATCGATGCTATGATCTAATCACACACAAACTCTATGCCTCTCGTCATGTTGTTTTCATGAAACATATTCCTTTCTGAGGGGCCCGACCCAGATCACAAATGATGGGTTCAAACCAAGTCCATATCAAAGATACAGACCAAACCCAACTCAAATATACAGGCTACGCTCACCACAGGATCAAGGAAGCTCAATTGGGTCTGCCTCGCTATCTTGAGAGACTCAGTCCAACAGACGAGAAGATCTCTGTGGAACGCAATCATCGGGTGCACGTCGCCACCTCCACGCAATTGTCCCGCCTATTACGAGAATGGTGCAACCTTTACCGAACTACCTCACCTGTTACTAGAATAGCGCTTCAATTTGTTAGGAGACGTCTATAAATTGTAAGTCCAGTCCCTCCCACACAAGGGGGTATCATTCACATCTGAGCACTCTACACTCATTGAGTAATAAAATACTCAGGCCACCGTAGTCCTTCATAATGAAGCAGGTCATCCTGACCAAACCATTTAGGAAAAGCAGTCTTAGGAATATCCTCCTCCTTAATCCGCAGTTGATGATACCCCGTGCGAAGATCAATCTTGGAGTAATACTTCGAACCCTTCAACTGGTCAAATAAGTCATCAATTCTCGGCAATGGATACTTATTCTTCACGGTAACCCGATTTAACCTCCGGTAATCCGTGCACAAGCGTAGAGTCTCATCCATTTTCTTGACAAAGAAGACCGGGGCTCCCCAAGGTGAAGTGCTTAGACAGATAAACCCAATAGCCAACAAGTGATCCAACTGCTTCCTTAGCTTCTTCAACTCCAAAGGTGCCATCCGGTAGGGAGCAATGGATATGGGTTCGATTCCCGGATAGAGATCGATCTTGAACTCAATTTTCCTATGTGATGGTAATTCGGCTAATTCCTCAGGAAAAACATCCAGAAACTCCGATACAATTAACACTACATCCGTATGAGTTGTATCTCTGTCATCTCCCATCAAGCTAGCTAAGAAACTCAAATGACTTCCCGATTTCGCTTTTAAGAATCTACTACCCATAGTAGGAAATGGATGGGAAGAATCTCGATTATTCACAAAATTGAAAACGACTCCTCCCGGCAACTGAAATATAATCCGCTTGCAGAAATAATCCATTACCGCCCAGAAAGCGGACAACAAGTTCATCCCAAAAATCACATCATACCCCTTTATCTCTAAAGCAATCAAATTCACAATCAATTCGTGCTCCCCAATTCGAAGCACGCAACCCTTGCAAACTCGGCTAGTATCTAACCGTTCTCCCGTGGGCAAGCTAATGTTCATAACATGCTCTAGCTTCGCGAAACTCAATCCCAAATCAAGTGCATATGTCGTGCATACAAATGAGTGTGTTGCACTGGGGTCAAATAATATTCGGGCCCAAGAATTATATATA